CCCCCCCCCCCCATTAAACGGATGTTCCGTGGGGTGTGTGATCCTATGATTCCCTAGGCGAATACATGTTGGGAAACTGCCCTGCTACTTAAGCCCAGATCTGTGGAGAAAAACATCAAACAATGGTTAGCTTCATGACAGGGATTCTCCTTTGAACTTAAAGAAAGAAAAAAAGAGAGAGAGAAAGAATTGGGAGACTGCATCCTTACCCGTAGAGTGTGATCCCACGATCCAGAACAAAACGCAGTCCCGTCGGGCGAAACTCTCAACGTGCTAACGCGGTTCTCATGGCCGAACAAAATGGAGACGCGAGAGCCTTTCAGGACATCCCAAACGTTGATGGTGTAGTCGTTGTAGCCCGCAAATAATAAACGTCCTGTGGACAAAACGCTGGTCAGAACAGGTCCCAATATGCAATGTTCCAATATCTAAGGGGTTGAGGGTGGGGGTCAACTTATTCTCCAGAGCACCTGAAGGCAGGACAAGAAGCAACGGATGGAAATTTGATCAATGAAAGAAGCAACCTAGAACTAAGGAGAAATTTCCTGACAGTGAAAATAATTAATCAGTGGAACGAGTTGTCTCCAGAAGTTGTGAAATGCTCCAACATTGGAGGATTTTAAGAAGAGATTGGACAACTATTTGCCTGAAATGGTGTAGGCTTCCTGCTGGAGCAGGTTGGACTAGAACAGTGGTCGCCAACTGGTGGGAAAATTTGGGTGGTCTGCAGAGAAATGTCACCCCCAAAAGCAATTAATCCAGGCTGTGTGGGAACACAAGGCTGCACCGCCCACATGGCCCACGGGAACACAAGGCTTCCGTCGCTTTCAATGTGAACAACATGAGATAGTGAGGGGAGGGGGGAAAGGGCAGAGGTGGGGAACTTGCCCCACTCGCCCCACGGGCCTTGCCTGGCCACCGGGCTGCTTCTTTCCGCTTCCTTCTTCTGCTTTTGGCTGCACGCAAGGAAAGCAGCAAAAGTCTTTCTTTCTCTCCCCCAAACTCCGCCAGAAATGAGTCTTTGGGACCCTGCAAGTCCTCCTGCTCCAAGAGGCTGCGCCGGCGCGACAAGTCTCACAAAGACTCATTTCTGGCGGAGTTTGGAGGAGAGAAAGATTTCTGCTGCTTTCCTTGCATGAAGCCAAAAGTCTCTCTCTTCCTCTCTCCCCCCTGAGAACGGAGCTGGAGACGGTATCCTGCGATCCCAAATAAAGAATGATCGATCGGTAGGAAAACGGGTTGGGGAATTTTCCTGCAGACTTTTGGGGGGATTTTCCCAGGGTCTCTGGTCCGCGGGATTTAAAATGATGAGTTTGGTGGTCCCTGAGGTCCAAAAGGTTGGAGACCCCGGACTAGAAGACCTCTCAGGTCCCTTCCAATTCTGTTATGCTGTTATTCTGAATCACAGCATTATGCTGATGACACAATCAATCAATTAGGCTGTCGGCACAACCAATCAATCAAAGTTCCCAAACAGATTCACAAGCAGAAGAAAACCACTTGAAATTCTAAATGAAAAACTGATCTTCAGCCAGCAACCATTAAGCACAACAAAGCTGTAATTCTCAGCTCAACTGTTCCAATCTTATGACCTGGTAGTTTTACTTCCGTGTAATAAACCTCACCCTACTCACCTACCCGAGTGAGTTCACTGGGCTAAAGAAAAAGTTCGTGCAACCTCCACCTTGAGCAATTAAACTCAAATCAAGAAAATGCTACACCTTTCGCTAGTTAACTTCATATATATATATTTTTCTAAGCGAGAGAAACACACCTAGAGTTGAAGGACCAACCCAGTGAGCGACTGTTTTAAGTCTCAAGGTCTGGAAGAGTTTAACTTCACTGATGGAATCGCTTTGCTGCTATCGCCAGCCAAGCTAAACTGGAAGGAGACCACACTTAGTTCTCCTCCTTGTTAGTTTCCATGAGAAAAGAAAATACATCAGGATTCACATCTTACCACTAAGAGAAAAATCCACGCTGGACACTCCGAAGATGATGCTTTCTTTGGAATAAATGGCCACCTCTCTGTCTGCTCGGAGGTCATATAAACGGCACTCAAGAAGAAGGGAAGGAAAAAAAAAAAAAGGAAAATTCATTATCTAGATCATTTTTAAATGCTATGACCGTACACAAGTTTTTAGCCCTACCAGTAAAACTCCCTTACAACTCTGTAATCCCTTAATTAGGGGTAGAGTTGGAACGGACTGGATGGAGCTGAGCATTTACTGGCTGGATGCCCTTCCTGACAGCACGTGGAGTTCACAGCAACAGATATTTTTTTATTCGCGCCCTAGGAGAGAAATATCTGCCACTTTACCTGGGATTGAACTCTCCTGAGTGTGAAGCAGTGACTTCACCACTAGGGCACCGCGCCTCTCATCTTAGCTATGCCAACAAACCTACATAAACCTGAATACTGTGGCCTACACCCTGATAAGTTACGTTGACGTTTGTTGGGCTTCAACTCCCATGGATTCCTTGAGTTTCTTTGATCATTCTAGAGTCACCATCCCTAAGCTGTCTCTCTGGAAGCTGCTTGGATCTCAATCTCCAGAATTCTCATGTATGGAGGTTCTGCCCAATGAATTCTGGCAACAGAAGGCCATACATCTGGAAGTTGCCTAAGATAAATTGAAATGGAAAGAGGCTGCCCTAAGAAACTGACGTTGGAAGCACATTCTTGACTGTGAGCGTTTGGTACCTCAACTAATGCATTGCCTTACCAAAGAAGCCCACCTTGACCTTTTTTGGTTGACCAGGTAAATTATGAAGTGGTTTCCCAAGAGGACACATCTCCTTTTTAAGAAAGTACAAGTATGCTTTTATTTCAGCCATCCTTTTTCCCTATTCAAGTCCCTCAGTCGCCTTGGGAGATTATTATTTTAGCTTATTTTTGTTGCGATAGCATTTTTTACACCACCTTGGAATAATCTTTTGGCATGGAAAGATGGGGACAGGATGTCCAAAACAAGCTAATAAATAACATTTAAAATTAGCTTTCAATAACATTCCATCCTTCTTCTACCTCATTTGTCGTTGTAACTTTTTTCCTCCCACATAAATTCCAGAGCTGTGGTTTGGCTCGTAGATATTACATTCAACCCATTTGTTCAGGATAATTCTTTGGTTTATTGATTTGCCCCCCTTCCTCCAGGAGTCCAGAGCAAAACATCTGTGGATTATTCCATGTTAACCCTGCAAGAGCAGCGAGGATGGAAAGACCCGAGCTAAAATCCCTGGAGAAATTCCAAGGCTAAGAAGGAATCTTAAAGTCCTGGTTCAGATTCTATAAGGACAGAGAGACAAAAGAATTCGGAGCCCCTCTAGGTAAGCTGGCCAAGGAAATAACCACATGCATATCTTGAACTACATTCCCAGAAGTCTTAGCCAATGTAAGTAGGGGATGCTGGAAGTTGTAAGAGCAACATCTGGAAGTCAAAAACTGTCAATCCTTAGGTCTAGGTCTTATTCATCCACCAGGTGGCAATGGGAAAATTTTAGAAGAACATTCATTGACCTAGGAACTTGATGTCAGGCAGAGTCCTACAAAAGATCTGGAATTTGCACTCTTATTATTCCCAACCACTGGCTCACTTGGTTGGTTCAGCCTTCATTTGTGGGGAAGGAATGTGTCTCTTTCAAAATTAAATAATGCAACGTACTGTGGCATCATCTGAGCCAGAGGCAAAGGCGTCTCCGCTTGGGTAGTACCTTCACAAAGAGGAAGAAAAAGACATCAGCGCACTTTCGAAGCAATATTTGGCAATCTTTGCAAAACACAGCTGAGCCCTTGGAGTTTCCCTTGATCATGCCAAGATTTTACCAGGCAATGGCCCTGCCCACAATAGCATGAGTAAGGGAGATTCTCGTATTGACTCACACACCCAGATTTTCACTGACACTGGACAAGCCAAGATCATGTGGATCAGTCCTTGTCAGGAGCTAGCAACCAGATTCCTGGGTGAAAAGTTCAAGTTCACTACTTTATTGTGTTTCACCTATAGTACAGGAATTTTTCCTCAGGCTGCTTACCTTCTCTTCCTTTAAGCTCCATGGGACCAACAGTTATGGTCCCATGGAGCTTAAAGGAGGTCAGCCCTATGCCTCTTGCAGCCGTGCAATGACTCGAGGCTACTTCCCTGCTTGACTCCTACACTCCTTGCCTGGCAGGGTGTTTCCCAACAAGTTCTTCAGTTTCATGTTGGGTCCAGAGGATGGCAGACTGGATGAGAGATGACCTAAGAGGCCCATCCCTTCAGCTTCTCCTTCTTCTGCCCTCCGCTCACAAAGCTATTTTTGTCAACATGTGCACCAACGCACCATTTCAAAAATAGGATTCTCACCTGACACCATTAATATCCGACTCGTGGGTTTCAAAGGACTGAATGCATTGTCCGGTTCGCATGTCCCAGATCATTGCCTTTTTATCACACCCCTAAATAAACGACAACAATATATATATTATTTATATATTGTGATTGATACACACGCACACACACATATATATATGCAGGTTTTGGCGTGTTCGGGTCTTTTCCGGTGTAAGATTGAGAGTATCTTGGCGACGTTTCAACGAGGTCCCATTTATAGAGAGACGGCAGCTCCGATCACACTTTGCTCGCACAAGAACGAAGCCAAAAGCACCAGCCTGAAGATGGCGAATGAGACCTTGTCAAAACGTTGCCAAGATACTCTCAATCTTATGGGAAAAGACCTGAACACGCCAAAACCTACATACCTACACCCGTGAAAATCTACGAAAACATATATATGTATGTATGTACGAATATATATATATATATATGTATGTAGGGAAACAATGATTAGATTAAGAGAGTTGGAAGGGACATTGGTAGGTCATCTAGTCCAGGGGTCTCCAACCCTGGCAACTTTAAGACTTGTGAACTTCAACTCCCAGAGTTCCTCAGTCAGCAAAGTTGGCTGAGGAACTCTGGGAGTTGAAGTTCACAAGTCTTAAAGTTGCCAAGGTTGGAGACCCCTGATCTAGTCTAACCCCCGGCCCAAACAGAAGACCCTACACCATTTCTGACAGATGGCAGTCCAATCTCTTCTTGAAAGCCTCCAGTGATGAAGCTCCCACAACTTCTGAAGGCAAAGCTGTTTCATTGAATATAGAATACCAGAGTTGGAAGGGACCTTGTAAGTCATCTAGTCCAGCCCACCGCCCAAACAGGAGACCCTACTCCATTTCTGACAGGTGGCAGTCCAATCTCTTCTTGAAAGCCTTCTAGTGATGAAGCTCCCACAACTTCTGAAGGCCAGCTGTTCCATGTGTTGACTGTTCTCACTGTCAGAAAACTCCTTATTTCCAGGTTGAATATCTGCTTGTTCAGTTTCCATCGATTATTTCTTGTCTGGCCTTCAGGTGCCTTGGAAAATAGCTTGATCCCTTCCTCCTCTCTGGGGCAGCCCCTCAAATATTGGACGACTGCTCTACTGTCTCCCCTGGTCCTTCTCTTCCCTAGACTAGCCATGCCCAGTTCCTGCAACAGTTCACCGTATGTTTTAGCCTCCAGTCCCCTAATAACTCAGGTTGCTCTTCTTTGCACTCTTTCTAGAGTCTCAACATCATGAGCGCAAGAGATCACAAAATGGATGCTGTTTGTTTGAAATATCTTTGTACAGTGTTAGTATCTCCCTCATGCTCTCACCCCGTCCGCAAACCTGAACCGCAGCAGTAATCAGATTCCTCGTTTACCAACCACAATTGGGATTGGGAACCTGGTCATTAAGCGAAGGGGCCATTAATCCCCATCCTGCGCAAAGGGAAGCTCGATTTACCCCCGATACAAACGTGCTCCCTGTTTCTGAAGGAGCAAGATCCAGGCACAAGACATCCGCCCCGTGTCCGTGGAAACTCTGTAGAAGCTGCCCGCTTTCAACGTCCCAGAGGGCACAGGTACCATCACCGCTTGCAGTCAAGATCTTTTGGGGGGGGGGGGGGGGGGGGGAGAGAAAAAAACAAAAACAAAGAGGCCATTCAAACTTGCATCAAATCACAAATTCAGAGAGCAAAATGGACACGGCCAATGGCTTGGTAGCGCATCAGTATCCTTAAGAGGGTGCTGGCTTTTTGAGCCCGTCTTATATACGCTTCCTGGTAAAATTGCATTGAGGGGGGCAAACCCACCTAGGGTTAGGGTTAGCTCCCTATGAATTCGGAGAGCAAAATAGACTTTGCCAATGGATTCCTAGCCAGGAGTGGGATTCAAATATCCCAGCAACCGGTTCGCTGCCCGAACTTCCTGTTTCCGGCTTCTGGTGGGCCTCCAGAGCCTGGGGAAGGCTGTTTTCACCCTCCCAAGGGTCCAGAGGCCTCCTTCCCCGGGCTCTGGAGGCCCACCGGAAGCCAGAAATAGGCCCATTTCCGGACTTCTGGAAGGCCCGTTTTTCCCCCTCCCAGAGTCTCCGCGCATACCCTGCACTTACCTCCATCCAAAATGGGCCTTGTGGAGGCCCCTGGGAGGGGAGGAGTGGGCCAGCCGGTCGGTTGAAATACCGATTCGGCGAACCAGCTGTAACTTTAACATCCGGTTTGCACCAACAGGTCCAAACCGCTGGAATACCACCCACTGTTCCTAGCTCACCATATGCTTAGGAGGGTGATGATTTTTTTTGAACCTGCCCTACCTAAGCTTCCTGGTAAAATACATGGGGAAATCCCACTGAGGGGGCAAACCCACTTAAGGTTAAGTCTCCATGGATCCGGAGAGCAACATGTATCAGGGTGTACAAAAAAAAACAAGAGTGTTTTTGGTCTTTTGTTTCCCCCCCATCTGTGCAGTCAACACTGTGATTAAATCAAACACAGATATGTAAGAGCGAGAACTTAATTTTCTTGGCTTCGGATGACATAATGGGGTAAAGGGGTTGAGTGCTGATAATGGATGAAGAAGCCACGGGATACAATTCCTGTTTGAAATGGGAGCAGCAAATCAGAGCAAGTTCCACCCTTTATACTGGAATTTGTCCCTGAAAAGATTAAAAAAAAAGAAAAGCCACGTTTTCGCTGAAAAGAATGTCTCTACGTCTAGAAAAATGGGAGGTCTTTTCATTTAGAACTCTCTTGTTGGTGGCATCTCGTTCCTTACAGGCCATTTCCTAAAACATCTCTGCATCGCATCGGCTTTAATTATTCCACCAGCCTCCTCTCTCTCTCTCAAGGCTAGAGTTTCATACGCTAAGAGCCCACAGGTAGATGGGTGACACTAGTTTCCATAGCAATAGACTTGCACCGTCATCTTGGGCTTATTCCTGGAAACAGCGGAGTGGGAAATAGCAATTTCCTCTCACATCCCAGAATAGACAAGCTGATATTTCGCTAGCACACCGAGTAAGAGCTAATGCCGTGCTCAATTTTGCATCAAAAGCACCTTTGGGCATTTCTTTCAGAGAAAAAGAGGAGGTTAAGCGAATGTTCTCTTCAGTGGAGCGTCCCTGAATTTAGCAGGAAGATGGAGAAGGGGCTTGTGGGAGATTCTCCTTGCAATCCTTTCTTCCTTGGTCTGTAGCCTCCCCAGCCTCATTCAGTTCCAAGAGAAGACAAATTTATCAGACTCTTCTCACTGGAGTGTCCCAAGGGTGCTTTTTCAAGAGGCAACTGGACTTCCTTTGGTCTTCCTTGAAGACAGTTCAGTGCAGAACTGAAGAAGCTTCTTGGATGAGAAGCGAAACATCTTCAAGGAAAAACAAAGGACATCCAGCTGCCTCTTGAAAAAAAAATATATATATATTTTTGGAGAACTTCTCCTCCTCCTGAAGAATTATGGAGAAACCCATCAAGCCAACTTTTCTATCCACAAATGGAGTGGAGGATTTTCAAAGTTTGCAATTCGCTTTTCCATATTTTTTTTATTTTTTTTATTATTTTTTTAGGGGGAGAATAGGAGCCCTTATTAGGAGTGGTGCGGTGGCCTAGAGGTGGAGCTCTCATCTCAAAATCAGGAGGCTGCGAGTTCGATTCTAGGTAGAGGCAGATATTTCTCTCCCTGGGCACAATGAGAATATATCGGCTGAATATAACTCTGCATTGGTGACAGGAAGGGCATCCGGCCATTAAACAAACGCTAGCTCCATTCAGTTGCCCAGACTCCACCTTGCAAAGGATTATGGGGGCCGTTAAAAGATGATGGTAGGAGTCCTTATTAGGTGGACTTCTGTGGGACGAGAAAAGGGTGACTCTGATTTTCCTCTATGAAACATAAGGAGTATTTTAGCCATCCCTATCCCAAAAGAAACAAATGAGTGTTTTTAAAGGGATTGTGAAAGCCACTCTGCACTACACAACTTTTCCAACGCAAAGAGTAACAACAAGATGCACGTTGGATGTACTTGCCTGCATATCAGAATTAGTGAAGCTGCAAGCTGACAAGTAGTTAGTATGCATTGCGACGGATTTCTTCTTAGCGGCCATGTTCTCGTTTTTTTCAAAGGTCAGGGGGTATACTGAGCATTTGTTATCCAGACCACTAGATTAAAAACAGGAGGGGGAAAAAAGAGAAGGAAAGTCCTTTTTTGAAATATATATACATACATAGATACATACATACATACATACATATATATGTTTTCTTAAGTTTTCGCGGGTACTTACATGTGTGGTATTCAGCTTTGTTCGGGTATTTTCCCACGTCATTTTAGTTGTGCTTTTAAAGTTGTAGCAACGTTTCGGCAGAATCTCATCTACCATCATCCGGCTTCTGTATTGTGTTCGTCTGTATTGTGTTCTTTCATCTGCCAGACGAACACAATACAGAAGCCTGATGATGGCAGATGAGATTCTGCCGAAACGTTGCTACAACTTTAAAAGCACAACTACAATGACGTGGGAAAATACCCAAACAAAGCTGAATACCACACATACATACATACATACATACATACCCTGTTTCTCCAACAATACAGCCTCCCCCAATAGGAAGTCCCAGCATGTTTTATAGGCATGAAATGAAATTAAGCCCCTCCCCCCATATTAAGGCCTATATTAAAACATGCGAAATGAGGGGAATGGTGGGGGGGCTTGCCGTTAGGAAATACTTTTGTTGCACACCCGGATATGGTGCTGCCTGCGTTGACCCCGATACGAAGTGCCCCACCAACGCCGAGGTCAACATCCAAGCTGTCGCCACCCGCCCGAAGATGCAAGGGGGGGAATTAAGTCACCCCCGAAAAGATGGCCTAGCCATTTTTTCGGGGCTCAAAAAAAAAATAAGACCCGGACTTATTATATGAGAAACACGGTACATACATACATACATACATACATACATACATACATACATACATACATTCAGGTTGGGTAATAAAACCGACCTATTTAATCTTGCTGGTGTTATCTGAGTTATGCTTGTTGTATGGGCCTTGCAACCGTGAAGCTCTCAAAGCTCCTGGATTATCAATTTATTTCTGGACTAGATTGAAAATCTGAGATGGGAACTTTGAATTCCTGAACAACCTGAGATGTAATATACGGAGAGTCATCTTCTCCTTATCTCATTTCCCCTTCAGAAACTGCATCGTGGGAGGTCCTTCTAGAGACCTATTTCTCATTCTGTTTGTAAATTTTGTTTAATTCACTGGTAATCATTGCATTACATTTGCCGAAAGCTCTGTTGAGGGTCAATGGATGGAAAGGTGACCTATAAATACAATGCTACCCTGGTACTTGACTTCTCTAGAGGTCATCAAATTTGGGACTCGACTCATTTTGATGCGAAAATTTTGCCCCAGAACTCATTGTTTGTTTGGTACTCGGCATGCTAGAAGCTAGAAGTGGTGTCGGCTGTCTCGTGACTCGCTATCCTTTGTAGCCGAAAGGAAGGGCCACATATTAAGCATTCGTCATTTTTACTACTTGTCAGGCCTCCCAGAACCGATTAATAATGAGTACTGAGGTACCACGGTAACCAGAGGTGGTATTCAGCAGGTATTCAGAGGTGGTACTCAGAAGGTGGTATTCAGCAGGTATTCATCAGTTCTGGAGAATTGATAGTGGAAATTTTGAGTAGTTCGGAGAACCGGCAAAAATCCCACCTCTGACTGGCCCCGCCCCCATCTATTCTCTGCCTCCCATTGAGCCCCAGCTGATTGGCTGGGTCTTCTTTGGTGGCCCTGCGCAGGAGAACGGAGCTGTAAAGCAGGTTAGGGGGTGGGGAGGGAATGGGGATTTTGCAGTATTCTTCCCCTGCCACACCCACCAAGCCATGCCCACAGAACCGGTATCCCACCACTGACGGTAACTAAATATAAAGGAAAAGACATCTTCTCAGTCTTGGTAGCCATATCTCCAGAGGTGGATCCTGCCCATTCATTTCCAAGGTCTCCTTCAAGATCTGCCTGAATGTACCCGTAATTGTGAATATGATCGTATTCAGTCAGGCTTTTGAAACTTAATGGTGATGGGTCTCCTCCTATTTATTCTTCTATAGGTTTTCTATTTGGGCTGGGTTATTTTACTAGAGGAGGTTTTTTTACACCATCCCATTACTGTATATCAGGGGTCTCCAAACTTGGCAACTTTAAGACTTGTGGACTTCAACTCAAACGTAGATAGGCCAAGTTGAAGTCCACAAGTCTTAAAGTTGCCAAGTTTGGAGACCTCTGCTGTATATATACACGTTATTTTGATGTTTTCAGATAGTGCCCAGAGTTTGGCAATAGGGGCAAGATAAAAATATTAATATGCATTACAATATACATGCAGCCAAACCATTTCTCTTTCTGCCAATATTAAAATCCAGCCAATATTTTAAAAAATTTCCATTTGGAAACCCATCGGTTTAAGAGAAGAAAGTAGCACCCTTTGTCACGATGAAAACACTGATTTTTTTTTCAAATAACCTTTCGTTAAAGAGGCTTCTGCTTACCCACATGCAATGGCGCATCCAGACGGAGCATAGGCACATGCCATCACCCATGTGCAGGGCATCGTCACCGCATGCTCCTGAAATACAAATCATTCCTTGCATCTCTCCAGCCAACGCTTGACCCAGCCTTGCTACTGGACAATCTGGGAAGCTCATTGAGATGTTAAGAGAAAAGGCCCAGGGACAAAACGTAGCCAATTCCCAACACCACCAGCCACAAATGTGGTGTTGGATATCATCAAGGCCAACCAGAACTTGAGAGTCTTCATCCTTACGCAGCAATGCAACGTGAGACAAAATAGAATCCAGAGGTGGCTTAAGGAGATGATAGGGCATAAAGTGGAATATAAACCAAAAAATACAATAAAGAGGAGATGTATTTAATAATACATGTGATTATGGCAGCAAGTTTAGCCTTTGCTCAAAAGTGGAAAGATAAAAGAAATTCCTGATGCAAGTGAAGTAATAAAAAAGATACGGACATGCACTGAGATGGATAAATTAACTTTCAAAATGAAAGATGAGACAGAATACTATAAAGTATGGGATAAATTCTATCAATGGTGGGGAAAAAAGAAGGATCTAGAATCAAAAGAAAGTAGGGTTGGCAGAATGGCTGATTAGAACTAGAAAATATTGTATAAATATATAGATGTATAAATGTATATAAAACATGTATTCCAGGCTATAATATGTATGACAAACAGGATTTTCAGGACGATCACACCACGTCCAATGTTTTTAATAATTTACTTAATAAAACTTTTGGAGAAAAAAAACGAGACAAAATAGGGTGCATTTTCTCTCCCTTCTCCCCACATCCAACAGACCCTTCAGACTGTGCCCAATCTTGTTGGGGAAAGATATTCTAGAGCAACTCACCTTATTGGTGGTAAAGGCATCCCAAACGATCACCTTCCCGTCCTAAAGAAGAGAAGGAAGAATTCAAAACACTCTGGAATGTGGGTGTTTTAATTTGGAAGTGACACTGCAGTGGAGTCCACTGACTGAATTCTGCTTACACCCCCTGCCTAGAATTACAGGGATTTATGAGGCAGAGGAGACCTGACTTAATTAAACCGATGGCGTGTCAACTTTCAAAAGGTAACATCAACAAAAATAAACCCTTTTGAGGTATCAAGTCAGCCCAGATATTCTGCCTTAATGAATCTGATCTTAGTGGCAGTCAGGGAAGGTGGCACTCTTATCCCATTGAGGTCTCAATGAGTCATGAGTGACCCCTGGCGTTCATCAGATGGACTTTGGTGGCCCACCATCAATAGTTTTTCCCTGGAGCTTCTCATGGTGTGTTTTTTTTGTAAAAAACTTTTTTTTCATTTTACAAACATTCCATCCTTTCTTTATACAGTGTGTTGTCTGGGTACAAGTATCTTCTGCATATTTGTGGTTAATACAATTTCCTTACAACAATTACATTACATTCTTGTTTAAACTAGTATACATATCTTATCATTGTAATCATCTCCTACTTGACTCCTTCCCCTCTATATTCATATATGTTCGTTCTATTTATTTATCTATCTACAGTATCTATCATCATCTATCTATCTATCTATCTATCTATCTATCTATCTATCTATCATCTATCTATCTATAGATACTATACAGTATCTATCTATCTATCTTCCTTCCCCTCTCCCTTATTCCCTTCCTTCCTTCCTCTCTCCACCTTCCTTCCTCTCTCCCTCTCTTTCTCTTCCTTCCTTCCGCCCTTCCTTCCCCTCTCCCTCTCTTGTAAACTCTGGGAGTTGAACTCCATCCATCTTCACACCGTCAAAAGTTGAGAAGCACCAGTCTAGAAAGAAGCTGAAAAAAACAATATAAACAAATAAAAACTCCCGTTACCTGGGAAGAGCTGACAGCTCTTCTTTTGTCCTTGCACCAGTCCATACAGAGGACTTTATTGCCATGGCCTTTCAGGGTCCTCCGTGTCTTCATCACAAATTGTCCCAAAGCCTCCACGCGCTCCGCCACCTGATGCACTACGAGAAATTCACAAGTGGCATTGAGACCTGAGCCACCATGGAAGCAGGCCCAGTCAGGACCCCAGGCAAGATAGAAAGCTAAGAAGGAGATTAGCAGAAGACCTGGAGAAGAAGTGTCAACCTGGGGAAATGAAATGGCCCTGTTTGCATCCCACAGCAAGGACCCCAAAAAAGATGGACAACCTCACCTGGTTGAAAGACCTGGTCTTTGATTTCCACCTTTAGAACCACACTGCATTGAAAGGTAATTTGACCAATGGAAAAACAATTCCCACCCTACCTAATATTCTCTAGGTATGTCTGGATTTCAGGATTCTTAATCTCTAATCAGAAGGACCTTTGACCGGGAATTATGGAAATCTGGGTTCCAAGATGGCGCCAACTACGGCTGCCTCAGTGAAATGCTCTCTAAGAACGTTCTTTCTGCGCCAATTCAGAAAGCTCAAACTGCCCAAGGAGCTGCTGATACAGTTCTACAGAGAAATTACTGAGTTCTGCAACCCAAAAAGACAGACACAGATTCCAGAGTGTAATTAGGACTGCAGGAAAAAAAATTGCTACCAACCTGCCTTCCATTGAGGACCTGTATCCTGCATGAGTCAAAAAGAGGGCTGTGAAAATATTTACAGACCCCTCACATCCTGGACATAAATTGTTTCAATTTCTAACCTCAAAACAACGCTATAGAGCCCTGCACACCAGAACTAGACACAAGGACAGTTTTTTCCTGAACGCCATCACTCTGCTAAACAAATAATTCCCTCAACACTGTCCAACTATTTACAAAGTCTGCACTACTATTACTATTAATCTTCTCATCACTCCTTATCACCCATCTCCTCCCACTTGTGACTGTATGACTGTAACCTTGCTGCTTGTATCCTAACGATTTTTATTGACTGTTCCCTAGTATGATTTGATTGCTTATTGTACCCTGTGACTATTATTAAGTGTTGTACTTGATGATTCTTGACTCTTGACAAATGTATCTTTTCTTTTATGTACACTGAGAGCATTTGCACCAAGACAAATTCCTTGTGTGTCCAATCACACTTGGCCAATAAAGAATTCTATTCTATTCTATTCTATTCTATTCTATTCTATTCTATTCTATTCTTTTCTATTCTATTCTATTCCTATTTCTAATTCTAATTCTAACTCTATCTAACCAGGAATGAAGAGTCTAGCCTACTGTTGATCATCAACTCAACATCTATTGGCCAAAGCAGCACCAGAGAACAAGAACAAGCTTAATTCTAACCAAATGTGGAATTCCACAAGGGTTGCTTTCTCACAATTTCCAACCTGTAGAAGTAGAAGCACTATTCATTTTATTTATTCACACATTTATTCACCTAAAAGAGGCTCAGGTTGACTGTTCTTTCTCACCTTTCCATATTATAATCTCAACAAACCTGTGAAATAGGGTGGACAGTGGAGCGACGGTGGTAGCTCCGAATCACCCACTGAGTTGATAATGGACATTTCCCCCCCCCCCCCCTTCGTTCCTTCTTTCTCCTTTTTTGTGTTAATTTAAAACGAAACTTTTGGGAGATGCCTAGAATTACCTGTGAGGTTCTCTGGGTATTTCTCACATCGTATGTGGACTTGCTATCTTATAAAAGCAGAAGACATGGTCCACCAGTCCTGCTGTGCCAAAGAATACTGCAAATTTGAGGTGAAAGGACTTAGGGGATTTCTAGGAACTTTTATGCCCATTGCATGTCAGAAAGTAGATGTCAACTCATAAAACATTTCTATGCCTGTTTTAGGGTTGCCCTGAATAGGGGGGGGGGGAGAAATTTGAAGGAGCAGTGGGGCAATTTAAAACCGAAAGTGCATTCCATTCTTATCTTGCAAAGATTGTAACTAAGTGACCGGAGTTTCTGCCCCAAAAATCTCTAATTGGAGAACTTGATTGATGACTCTTGGCTATGAACATGTTTCGTTGGAGAATATGAATTATGATGCACCCAAAGGAGTGGGGGGAAACCAGAGTAAAGGGTGACAGTGAATTACGTGTCTCAGAATTGGCTTCAAACAGGTCATGCCAACATGTTCACTCCTAATAAATTCTTTATAGTTTTTAAATCTTAGTTCGAGGCTCATGATTTAATTAGGGCAACTGCCGGAATCCTGATAGATTTATATTTACTTACTATAGACCTTTGAACATTTTTTTATTAGGTCCATCAAAAACCTGCCATATCTATTTTTTTTTTCAAATTCTAGTTCATCAAGTTGGAAAATCAACCTCATTGGAATTCTGGATATGGCTAGTTCTTTTATGTTGCATCATTTATGCTCCTAAACCATGAGTCTCCAAACTTGGAAATGTTAAGACTTGTGGACTTCCAACTCCCAGAATTCTGGGAGTTAAAGTCCACAGGTCTGGTTTAAGAGAATAATTCTGAGAATTAAAG